ACCCCGTTCCTGCCCACGCCGCTGACCCGGACGCGGGGGCCGTGCGGCGCCCGCGGGGACCTCGGTGGGACCTGGGTGGCGCGTGCCAGTTGGGGCTATACACTCAGGCCTGTGGTCCGCCTCGAGTTAACGGGGCGTCGGAGGAGGCAGGCTGAAGTCCTCCCGCCCGCACCTGGACGCGGGGCCTCCTTTAGAGACACAGTTGACCCTTGAACAGCGCAGGTTTTAGCTGCACGTGTCCACTTGAGGAATTTTTCAAATCCACGCGTAACCGGCCGGCCGCATTGTGTCAGGGCCAACGGTAGCTTCTCTGCAGGCTTCATCGGGCCAACCGATAGCATCTGAGCACAGTGACTGAGGCGCCTACAAGGGGAGAGGCCTGGAGACACCTCGCACGGAGGGGAGGAGGCCACAGGACAGGCCGGGTTCAGGGCCCAGCACTGCAGGCGGAGACCACCAGGGCCTGCGGCCCCTGGGGAGCTGGGAGAGGGGCCCGGGGCAGGGAGAGGGGCCCGGGGCAGGGAGAGGGGCCCGGGGCAGGGAGAGGGGCCCGGAGCAGTTCCCCTTCAGAGCCCCCAAAGGAGCCAGCCCTGCCCACACCTTGGTCTCAGACCTGCGGCCTCCAGAACTGAGACAGCACATCTCTGTTGTCACAAGGCACCCAGCGTGTGGTCATCTGTCCCAGCAGCCCTAAGAAACTCATCCAGGCTCCGATTTCATTCTCTTGTCCCAGCACCGTCTGCTGAGAAGACTTCTTTCCCACCGGCCAGCGTGGCTCCGTTGACTGACCATGGTCCTGTGCACCAGGAGGCTGCCCATGAGATTCCCGTCAGGGCACATGCCCGGGTTTCGGGCTCCTTCCCCAGTAGGGGACGTGCAGGAGGCAGCTGATCAATGACTCTCTCATCATTGATGTTTCTCTCTCTCCCTCTCCCTTTCTCGCTCTGAAAACAATAAAAAACATTTAATAATAATAATAAAAGGCTCTTCTTTCCTCATTGAGTTGTCTTGGCACGCTTGTCAACAATCAGTTGAGCCCAGCCCTAGCTGGTTTGACTCAGAGGTTAGAGCGTCAGCCTGTGGACCGAAGGGCCCCAGGTTCAATTCCGGCCAAGGGCATGTACTTCGGTTGCAGGCTTGACCCTTGGCCCTGGTCAGGGCACATGCAGGAGACAACCAATCGATGTGTGTCTCTTACATCCATGTTTCTCTCTCCCTCTCTCTCTGAAAAGCAATGGAAAAAGTGTCCTCGGGTAAGGGTAAAAATATATATTTTTAAAAATCAGTTGACCACAATGTGAGGGTTTCTTTCTTTTTTTTTTTTTTTTTTAATATATCTTTATTGATTTCGGAGAGAGGAAAGGAGAGGGACAGAGAGAGAAACATCAATGATGAGAGAGTCATTGATCAGCTGCCACCTGCACGCCCGACTGGGGATCAAGCCCACAACCCGGGCATGTGCCCTGGCTGGAATCGAACCCCGATCACCTGGATCCTAGGTCGACGCTCAACCGCGGAGCCACGCCCGGCCGGGCGAGGGTTTACTTCTAGGTTGTCAACTCTGTTCCACTGATGCGGACGTCTCCTCTCCTGCCCACACCACACTGTCTTGATCCCTGTAGCCATGCAGTAGCTAAGTTTTCAGATTGGGACGTGTGAGTCCTCCAGCCATGCTCTTCCGTTTTAAGATTGTTTTAGCTATTCTGGATCCCTTGTGTTTCTACGTGGATTTTAGGATCAGTTGTCAATTCCCAAAGAGGTACCTGGGACCTTGAGAGGGCTTGAGTTGAATCCTTAGGTCCACTTGGTGATGACGTAAGATGTCTTTCCATTTCTTTAGGTCTTTGTTAATTTTTCTGACAGTGTTTTTTATAGTTTTCAGATCACAAGTTTTGCCCTACTTTTCTTAAATTTGTTCCTAAGTATTTTATTGTTTTTGATCCTGTGACAAGTGGAATCATCTTAACTTCATCTCATCTCGGCTTGCTAGTGTGTAGAAACGCAATGGACTTTTGCATATTGACCTTGTGTCCTGCAGCCTTACTGAACTCATTTATTAAGCCAGGCTTAAGAACGTTTTAAAGAAAAGACTGACGAACGTTCCAGATGGAAGGAGACTAAGGGGAGGGGACACCAAGCGTGCACAAGAGCTGGGGTGGGTCGTGGGCCCCTGAGCCCGTCCTCAGGACAGTGGGGACTTGGAGGGGTCTGAGGGTCAGACGGGGACATTGTATTGGTGGTAATTTCCTGAGGTGCCACAGGAGAAAGTCCTGTTACTTGGGGACCAGTCCGAGGGTTAGGGTGACGGGCATTCTGCCTGCAGCTCATTCTCTGATGGCACGGAGGATACGTGCAAATCCGTATGAACAGATAGGTGCCTGCTGCGTGCGTTCCACGGGTACATATGTCACGAGTGGTGGAGAGGGGATGAAATGTGAATGTTGACCGAGGAAACTGGGAGCTGTGGGAACTTCTGCAGGTTTATTTGCAATTATTTTTTAGTGGAAATTTTTAAAACATCAATAAGTACAGTTATTCACATTAACAGGTTAAAGAGAAAACATGATTATATTATAGATGCAGAAAAGGCATTGATGGAATCAATAGCTGTTCACAACTTATTAAAAAAAAAAAGCCCAGCGGGGCTGGTGTGGCTCAGCAGTTGAGCACTGACCTAGGATCCAGGAGATCGCGGTGCAATTCCCGGTCAGGGCACATGCCCGGGCTGCGGGCTTGATCCCTGGTATGGGGCGTGCAGGAGGCAGCCGATCAATGACTCTCATCTCCCTTCCTCTCTCTGAAATCAATAAAAACATACTTAAAAAAAAAAAAAAGAGCCCTCAGTGGAGGAAGGCAACTTCTTAGTCTGGTCAAATGCAGTCTTAGCAAGAGGAGGTGGAGACACCCTGTTTGAGATGGAGGCAGACAGATGCCAGTGGCCACGTGGGCTCAGCGCTGTGCTGGTCTGAGAAAGCCCAGACCATGTACCACCACCTACAGAGGTGTCATCCAGGTGGGTGGAGACCAGATGTTAAAGGAAACGCAGGAGAATATGACCTGGAGAGGGAGGCATGTCCTAAAGAGAACGTTCATGGCCCTGGCCGGTGCTGCTCAGCGGTTAGAGCGTTGGCCCTTACACCAAAGGGTCTTGGGTTTGGTTTCCAGGCAAGGGCATGTGCCTGGGTTGCAGGTTCAAAGCCCAGCCCCAGTCAGTTACAGGAGGCAAGCAATCGATGTGTCTCTCTGACATCGATGTCCCCCCCCGGCTCTCTCTAAAAAAGTCAATGGGGAAAAATACCCTCACGTGAGGATTAACAACAAAAATGTTACTTGTAAAAACCAAAACACAAAAAAACGAGTGCGATTAAAACAAAACTTAAACTTCTGTTCAACAAGGGAAACCACGAGCAAATCTTTAAGGAGGTGACAGAACAGAGAAGGTATTTATAACGCGCGAAACCAAGGAGAGATTCATATCTTGAATTTTCAGGGTTCCTGCAGAGCATCTTTAGAAGACCGCAGTCCCCAAAGACAGATGGTCAAAGGATGTGAGTAGGCAGTTTGCAGAGAGGAGGCCCACAAAGCTGGGCGGGCGCAGGGAGCCGCGCAGGTGCCGTGAGCAGACACGGCCCGTAAACCGGGAGACGCTCAGCACCTGCTCACCTGTGAAAAGTGGGGTAATGATGGAGGGCGAGACCCAGAACGTGGGAGCTGGGCGGTGTGGCCCGGCAGGTGCCATCGGTCTGCTCCCGCATGGACACCCCACGCCCTGCGCCCGTGGGCCCAGGAGGGCAGGGCCGTCCGCGGTGGCCGGGAGCCGGGGGCGGCCTGGGAGCCCTCCGTGGGAAGTGGGTGGGTGGGCGTGATCGGCTGGGGACACTCTCCACTCTCCAGCAGGCATCGGCTGTGCCCACCGCTGCGGGGACGGGGCTTTCAGACAATACTTAGCGGGAAGAACAGAGGGAAACACACGCCCGTCCTCCGTTGGGCCCCGTTCCCAAACCGTGTGCCGAGGCACCCGGGGTGCCGCAGGGAAGCCTCAGGAGCCACAGGGCATTTTAGATTTTCCAGGTAACTGAACATGCGAGATCCTCACGGGCAACTCTATCGAGTGCGCAGTTTCAACAGCGGGTCGCACTGCAAGCTGCTCACAGCAGCCGCTCCAGCGAGGAGCAAAGGCCAGGCACAGGTGGACCAGGGTCGGTCATTCAGGGGGCAGCGTCCAAGCTGAGTGGGGTTTGAAAAGGTGTGCAGAGCGGAGTGGGGCCAGACAGTCTGCTAATAAGTAAGTGAAGCCCGGCCAGCCTGGCTCGGCGGTTGAGGGTCGACCTACGAACCAGGCGGCCAAGGTTCGAGTCCCGCTCAGGGCACATGGCCGGGTTGTGGGCTCGATCCCCAGCAGGGGGCCTGCAGGAGGCAGCCAACCAATGATTCTCATCATTGACGTTTCTGTCGCCCTCTCCCTTCCTCTCTCTGAAATCAGTAAAAAACGTACTTTTTTTAAAAGTGTGCCTATTGAAGAATAAGGTGGGTGTTTTTTTCAATTTCTGTGTTATCATGGCTTTGTTTTTGGCTTTTTTTCTGACCAGCTACTCCGTCACTAGGACCTAAATGCTCAAGTTGTTTGGCCCCAATAAACAGAGCTGTTAGGTGTTTCTTTTTGCCAAGGGTGCTGTGAAAAACTGCTCAGCGGCCATGACCCCATGAACAAGAGTGCAGGAGCCTTCGAGGTGGGCAGTGCCAGCCCCGAGACCTGACGCAGATGGAGGGAGGGGCACTGACTGCGCCGCGCCACCTGGTCCCCTCCCCACCACATGCCAGGGTTTTCTCCATCACATCCACGTCTGGCTCTTGATCCAGACCTGTCTATAAAATGAAACTAGAGACACACGTGCGCCCCCAGCCGAGATGTGGACACACTCCCCCAACCACAAGGAGAAATGGATAAGCAAACTGTGGTCCATCCACACAACGAATGTTATTCAGCCTTAGAAAGGACGACCATGCTGCCCCGGCCAGTGTGGCCGTTGGCTGGGCATGGTCCCTGCACCAAAGGTTGCCAGTTTGATTCCGAGGTCAAGGCGCATGCCCAGGCTGGGGACTGTCACAGGCAGGGGGTGTGCGGGAGGCAGCTGATCACTGATTGGTTCTCACGTTAATGTTTCTCTCTCCCCCCTCCCTTCCTCTAAAATTCAATAAAAATATTTTTAAAAAAGGATTGACAAGCAGACACCTGCCAGGACACGGATGGACCTGAGGATGTCATGCTCAGTGAGATAAGCCAGACACAGGACCGACACTGTGACCCCACTGATGTGGAGTCAGATCGAGACAGAGCAGATGGCGGTGCCGGGGCTGGGCCAGGGGAGGGGAGGGGAAGGGAGGGTCCCTGCGTAACGGGGACAGGGGTTCCGTTGGGCAGGCGATGAGTTAGTTCTGGATGGCGGGGTGCACCCCGCCAGGGGCCCCACTGTGCCCCGAGGCCTGCCTGCCGTCCCCGCCCCTTGGCTCCGATGCTATCACTCCCTGGTTGTCCCTGGTTACGAAAGGCGAACGTTTTGACTCAGTTACCTGACTTCCTGTTTCTCGGCGGTGGCAGCCCTTGGGTTTTGCTCACTTTTTGCGTTTCTTTCACAATGATTAATAGTTCTGTGTCAACTCTTTATTGGCTACAAATGCCACAAATTCTCCCACTCTGGCCGGTCTGCCCTTTCTCCATGGTCTTTGAAAGAGCAGAGCCTCCTAGCTTAGGGAGTCTAATTCCTGTTGGCCTCAGGGAGCCAATCCCCACAGGCCAGTGTCCTACCTCCTGCAGGGCTCTGTCCCTGCGGGTCCCCGGGCGCAGTCCTCACACTCCTGTGCAGACCGGCCCTCTCCAGCCTGGGGGGTGGGGGAGGGTGTTGGCCCTGGCATCAGGCCTGTGAGCTGTCAGGTCGCCTGCAGCAGGGGACGGAGGTTGCCTGGGGCTGGGGGCAATGCCACCGCATGGGCAGGGAGTTAGAAATAGCAGCCTGCGTGGGGACTGAAGACCTGCCACCTGCCCACACCTGACTTCAGATCCTCAGCGCAGCAGGACCATTCGGCAGCGCTGACTCACTCCCAGCCCCACTCCAGGTCACGGTAGCCTTAAGACGAGCCAGCGCTGTGGGGGCTGTTTCCCTCGCTAGGACTCTCGGCCGACCCCCTTGGGCTCCACAATCAGCAGCTGGAGACACACCGACAGACACTTGGGGTTGCCGGAAGTGTATTGACCACAGATCAGTTTGAGAAGTGACAGTTCTGTAACAGTGACTTTCATCTGGGTCCCTGAAAATCAAGGTCACAAGGGCCTGTGGCCGTCCTGGCGATGGAAGTCCACACAAGGCAGGGGTCTCCGGGATGAGCGGGGTCCTGCCCCGTGGTCAGGATGGTCAGGCACCGCATGGGGGGACAGCTGCCGGGAGTCCACAAGTGACCGCACACACTCAGAGGGTGCAGGTGGAGAGTCAGGCCCCCTGTGCCCAGGGTCACAGCTGGAGCCAGCGGGGAATAACGAGACCTAAGAGGAGCTGGGGCAGTGGTGCTGAGGGGCATCAGAGGAAAGGGTTCCAGGCCAGGAAGGTGGGCAAAGGCCCAGGGTTCTCTGGGGACCAGCCCCACAAGGACAAGCTCAGGGATATGCTCCTGAAAGGGAGGACCTGCTGGCCACCGCCTGGTCCGGCCAGGGACTGGCTGAGAGGGGCTGGTGCCCGTGTGAGCTGTGGATCCAGCACACGCACGCACACAGCAGGCAGGAAGCGCTGAGAGACGAGGAAGGGGGTGAGGCAGGAGACCCAGGGGCTAGGGGTGGCCTGGGCCTGAGCTGGCCGGCGGCAGCAGCAGGAGGCAGCCCACCCACTGGCCCCTTCACCTGCCAAGCAGCAAGTTGGGGTTCAGGATTCAACTGCCCTGGGAAGAGGGGAGCCTGCCCGTGCCTCCTGGGGGGACGTGTTGGGGGCGATTCTAGCAGCTGGGGGCACATCCCCTGCACACAGATGGCTCTTTGTCAGGACCAAGCCCCATTCACCAAGCAGCCTCAGGGACAAAGCCCCCTCTGTCCACAGTGGCCTCCCCCTCACCCCGTGCTCAGGCCCCACCCCAGCTCCCATGGGCCCCCGCGCACCAGGCGCAGGCCTGGTCCTGGTGGTACAATGACAGCCAGAATGAAGGGCAGCCAGAGGGCGTCCAGGGCAATGCCTGCCCCCCAGGGGCTCCGGGACCACCCTGTGCTACAGGCCACAGCCGTCCCTCCAACTCCCAGGCTCCTCTGGCCGGGCCCAGTCTTGGCCACCACTTCCCAGGTCCCCTTCCCACTCCTGTCCCCAAAGACCTGAAAGGGTGGCGGAGGAATGGCCAGTTCTCCGCATTTACTTCTGAGTCCTCTCTCGACCCTGAGAGCCCACAGCCGCCACGCTGGACATGGCCTGACCTCCTGAGGAGGGAGCGCCCATGCCACTCCTGCTACTGTTGGCCAAGGGGCTGAGCTCTGTCTGAAGCAGGGATGACCCAGGGTCAGGAAGGTGGGGCACTGCTTCTACGTCAACTCTATGGCTACCCAGCCTAGAATCTGCCCTCTAAGGCCAGACCAGGCCACAGCAGGTGCCCTCAGCGTCTGGACGGCGGGATCCAGATGAGGCCAGGCCGAGCTCCTGCCAGCCTGGCCAGCTGCTGCCGGCACTGTGCCTGTAGCTGGTGCAGTGCCTCCTCCAGGCAGGCCTCCCGGCTCCTCAGAGTCCCGATCACCTCAGCAGCCCGCAGACCCGGGCCCCCCGGCACGCCAGCCTCAGTCCTCACCAGCCGGTGGGGCCCATGGGGCTGGGCCCGGCCCCTGACTCGCTCCCAGGCCTGTGGCAGAGCCGCCAGCTCTCGACTCACGGCCTCCTGCACAGCCTGTTGGGCAGCGTGCCACTCTGGCCCCTGGCCTCCAACCTGCAATGGGAAAAGTTGGTTACTCGGGGGCCAAGACATACATCCCGCCCGGGACACTGGCTTTGGGTCCCCATGGCACTCACTGGGCCCTGACACAGGCCCTCAGAGGCCCCGCAGCCCCCACCAGCACCCTGAGAGGGGCTTCTGGGCCAGATCCATGGCTCCCAGGGAACCAGAGGCCAACCCTACACCAGCTCAAAGGCCCAGCCCTTCCAGGCTCCGCAGCACCCTCCCCAAGCCCCTACACCCTGAGCAGCAGCCGTGGGCTCCAGGGACAGGGCGACAGCTGACCCCCCCCCCCCATAGCCTGGTAGCACTTGAGCCCTCACGGCCACCAGCTGCAGGGCCACCTCGCTCACCAGGGTCAAGGTCTGGGGGTACAGCTTGGCAGCTCCCAGCAGGCCAAGTCCCTTGGGGCCCTTTTAGTGCCCAGAGCTCAGATCCCCAAGATACCCACCCCAGGGGACACCCACCCTCAGCCCCACCTGCCACTCCAGAGTAAGCCCAGCCTGAATCCAGGAGGGGAGTGCGGGGCGGGACTGACCCGCGGGACACTGGACCGAGGGCACAGCCTGCCGAGGCCTCCTGGGGTTGGGGGCAGAACGTGGGGGAGAGGAAGAGGCTCTCCCCACATCCTCAGGGAGCCCATGGCCCTGAGCCTGGGATTCCCAGCCAGAGAACATCAAGGGCTCCGAGCCTCGTTCCTTCTACAAAACCCCCTACAGACATCAGCTGTCACCGCCGGGATGGGAAGGAGACCTCAACAGCAGCGAGACAGCAGGGGGGCAGCTGCAGGCCCTCAGAACCCTGTGCTCTTCCCTTCGGGGTACACTGAAGACTTCAAGGGGAAACCATGCCCACAGTTTAAGATGCCCACCAGCAGGTTACACAGGCCCCTGGGATGGGAGATGACAGGGACGGGAGATGACAGGGATGGGAGCCAACATGGACGAAAGGCTTTGAGTGGCTGGGCTGGCCATGCACCCTCCTCCGCTGGAGTCTGACCCGTGAGTACACCAACCACACTCGGATTAACCCATGTGAACTCACCCTGGCCACCCAGGCCGCCCGCCTGGCTTCCACCGCCGTCCGGAGCTCCTCCTGCAGGGCCTGCAGCTCCCGTGCCACTGGTTCCAAGGCATCAGCCCCGCACTCTCGGACACTGGTCAGAAACGTGGGCTGTGAGACCTCCGGGGGGCAGGCACCCAGGACCGTGTCCTGCAGAGAGAGGCCCGAGTGAGGGCAGCACAGGCCTCGGCATCACACGCAGCCCAGCTCCCAGCTAGTGGGGACGAGGCACAGGTCACACAGCGAGCCAGACAGCGACCATCACCCAGGCAGGGTGGAGGCAGGGGCACAGAGGCCAGTCTGCAAACCCCCGAGAAGTCTGGGCCTCCCAGGAGCTGGCAGGGTGGGTGGACGGACCACTGGACATTTGGAAGGAGCCCCAGACTCAGCTCCACAGACCTGGATACAAAGCTGGCTTCAGGCTGGGCTGGTGTGTGGCCCCAACTCCTCACCACCACNGAGGGGAGTGCGGGGCGGGACTGACCCGCGGGACACTGGACCGAGGGCACAGCCTGCCGAGGCCTCCTGGGGTTGGGGGCAGAACGTGGGGGAGAGGAAGAGGCTCTCCCCACATCCTCAGGGAGCCCATGGCCCTGAGCCTGGGATTCCCAGCCAGAGAACATCAAGGGCTCCGAGCCTCGTTCCTTCTACAAAACCCCCTACAGACATCAGCTGTCACCGCCGGGATGGGAAGGAGACCTCAACAGCAGCGAGACAGCAGGGGGGCAGCTGCAGGCCCTCAGAACCCTGTGCTCTTCCCTTCGGGGTACACTGAAGACTTCAAGGGGAAACCATGCCCACAGTTTAAGATGCCCACCAGCAGGTTACACAGGCCCCTGGGATGGGAGATGACAGGGACGGGAGATGACAGGGATGGGAGCCAACATGGACGAAAGGCTTTGAGTGGCTGGGCTGGCCATGCACCCTCCTCCGCTGGAGTCTGACCCGTGAGTACACCAACCACACTCGGATTAACCCATGTGAACTCACCCTGGCCACCCAGGCCGCCCGCCTGGCTTCCACCGCCGTCCGGAGCTCCTCCTGCAGGGCCTGCAGCTCCCGTGCCACTGGTTCCAAGGCATCAGCCCCGCACTCTCGGACACTGGTCAGAAACGTGGGCTGTGAGACCTCCGGGGGGCAGGCACCCAGGACCGTGTCCTGCAGAGAGAGGCCCGAGTGAGGGCAGCACAGGCCTCGGCATCACACGCAGCCCAGCTCCCAGCTAGTGGGGACGAGGCACAGGTCACACAGCGAGCCAGACAGCGACCATCACCCAGGCAGGGTGGAGGCAGGGGCACAGAGGCCAGTCTGCAAACCCCCGAGAAGTCTGGGCCTCCCAGGAGCTGGCAGGGTGGGTGGACGGACCACTGGACATTTGGAAGGAGCCCCAGACTCAGCTCCACAGACCTGGATACAAAGCTGGCTTCAGGCTGGGCTGGTGTGTGGCCCCAACTCCTCACCACCACCCCGGGGCTGCTGTGGCCCAGGCCAGGGAAGGGAGGGAGGGAGGGCAAGAGAGGGAGGCGGTAGAAGGTGTCCTGACCATCCACTGCCAGAAGACAAGCTCACGTTGCCGCCACTCCAGGGCAGCCTCCAGGCGGGCATTCTCAGTCTTCAGCCTCTGCAGCAGCTGCAGCGCAAACCAGAAACAGGCCGGGTCAGAACCACAGATACTTCAAACCCCAGCGCTGAGACCCCACCCACCTTACCCACCCTTCTCGGGCCCCTGTGCTCAGTCCCCTTGGCCTAGTGCTGGCCCAGCCATCTCCCTGCACCAAAAGGCAGCCTCACTGCCACATGCGACCAGGTCTCTGAGCAGGCCTGTGTTTCCCATATCAGCCCCGACTGTAGCCCTTCGGGGTCAGTGGTCAGTCCAGGTGCCCCCTAACTTGGGACGTCCACCCCACATCCTTTGCTGATTGGGGGCTGCACCCTGGAGGCTGCCAGGCTCTGGGGGAGAACCCCACACCAGGGCAGAGGCTGTGTGGTGCCCCCATATAACCCTTAGCCCACCACAGCCCCACAGCACCCCTGCCTGGCACACACAGCCAGCGCCCATGGACCCTGTGCCCCAAGGGCCCCACACCTGCAGACCCCGCTGGAGTGGACATGAGCCCAGGTGGTCCATAGCCAGCTGACAAACCGCCACACACTTCGCACCTCCAGCCCCTGCCTCAGCCTTGGGAAACTTGGCTAGGACCCCCACCCACAGAGGGACCAGTGGCAGGATCCACCTGAGGGCCCACCATCAGCCCCCATCCCCATTGAGAACCCCCTAAGTCAGGTGCCTGTGGTGGCTCCTCTCTGGACACACAGCTGGATACCAACCACACCAGCCACAGGCTCAGCTCCTCCTAAAAGACAGAGGTGCTGGGCCGTGTGGGAACCCAGGAGCATGTTCTGTAGCCAGGACAAATGTCCAGAACACAGCAGCCACCCTGTCAGCCAAACACGAGCTCTGCCAGGCTGCCGCTCACGAGGGCCAGTGCACACGCCCTGCACAACCCCACCAGTCTCCTCTAGCCAGGGAAGGCTCCCTGCTCTGCACCCCAATCCCATGCTGCCCCTGGCCCAAGAGACAACTCCTAGTGCTGGCCAGGCAGCCAGGGGCCTCCCTGCTGCAGCTGGAACCTGGTCAGGAGACCAGATGGGGGTGGCCTTGAATGGCAGACCAAGGGCCCAGCCCAGCCCATCGCCAGGCAGAATGAAGGCAGGCATGCCGTGAGAACCAGCCTGCTGCCTGGGGAGCACACAGCCTGGG